CCTTTCTTTAGCGGGTCACTGTGTTCCCAGTTGCGGTGCTTCACATGTCTCCTGTCAACTAGAATGAGTCAAGTGTGAAGGGGTGGAGTTTAGGCTGTCAATCAGACGGCAGCCTGTGTACAGTGAAAACTCGCCACTTCGTGCTTCGACTTCCGCGGCTTCACTCTATCGCGGTTTTTGCATAACAGCGCATGCTCTGAACGAGGGTTCACTGTATTTCATTTGAATCTGTTGTGAGTCACCGTCTTCATCTATAATTCTATTTATGTTTATCTTCTCATTCTTTTCCTTTGTCTATGTTGACCAAGGAGTGTGGCTTTTATTAATCCTTTCAAAGAATGAACTTCTTGTCTTTCTTGTTTTTCTATTGTTTTTTTCCTGTTTTGAAATTAATTTATTTCTGCCCTAGTGTTTACTATCTCTTTTATCCTGTTGTTGGAGGCTTTATCTTATTACTTTTGCTAAAATTGTTGGAGGTGTTGGGTTTAAGTGCTGATTTTAGATTTCTCCTCTTTTTCATGTATGCATTCATTGCTATAAATTGTCCTCTGATAACTGCTTTTGCTGTGTCTGAAGGTTTGGGTATGTTGTGTTATTCACATTTAAGTAATTTCTTAATTATATTCTTTGTTTTATCTATCACCCATTCATTTTTTACACTACTTGTCTGTCAGTTTTTTTCACACTGTAGTGACATGTGGTTCAGTGATGCTGGAATGAATCTATGTCACTGCTATTTTAAGGCCAGCAGGGTCACCCAAGTGAACAGGATTTAGCAGAGCTTCAAAACTCAGAACAGTCAATGAAGAAGGAGTCAGCTGCCCACTTCAGAGTGTAGCCACTGAAAACCTAACCCACAGCTTTACAGATTGTCAGATACTAAAGGCCTAATGAGTGGAAAGAACATTGTCAAAAATACAGCTGGAGTATAGATCTCTTAGGTCCTAGGGTACTCAAAATGTAACTAGGAGGACATTATTTCTTGGAGTGGAGTTGACCATGGTAACAGGAGTCAGAAAAAGCCTGTGAAAGAAGGTTATTCAGGATCTTCATTTGCTGATGGGGTATGACTCAAGCTAAAGAGAAACAGCTGCAAAAATCTGCTAGTTATCAAATTTAGAATGTCCCAAGTATGAATCTAGGAAGATTGGATAGTCAAAAATGAAATGTAATGCACACAAATCAGTACCCTAGGTATTATTAGTGAGCTAAAATGGACGTGTATTGGCCATTTTGAATCAGAAAATTATATGATTTATTTTGCCGGGATTAACACAGTTGAGAGAAATGGTGTGGCTTCCATTGTCAAAGAGGACATTGAAAAATCCTTCATGGAGTACAATGCTCTCTGTGGTAGTGTATTTTCTGTCCACCTTCAAGGAAATCTGTTCAATATGAATATTAGTCAAGTTATGTACCAACTAGAAAAACTATTGATGAAGATATGGAAGATTTCTACCAACGACTTCAGTTGGAAATTGATCAAGCATGCAACTGAGATGCATTGATAATTATTGACAATTGGAATGCAAGAGTTGGAAACAAAGATGAAGGAATGGTAGTTGGAAAATCTGAACTTAGTAATAGACACCAAACTGTAGATCACATGCTACAATTTTACAAGACCGACAATTTCTTCATAGGTCCGGGATGGGAACTGTTGTGTTCTGTGGTGCATAGGGTTGCTATGGGTCAGAAATGGCTCAGTAGAACCTAACAACAACAAAGTACTTCTTCCTTGAAAATACATTTTTTGAACAACACAAAAAGTTGATTATACACTTCGATTTCTTCAGATGGAATACATAGAAGTCAAGTTGACTACATCAATGGGAGGAAATAATAAAGAAGTTCAACATTAGCAGCTAAAAGGAGGGCAGGAGCTGACTCTGTAACAGACTATCAATTGCTCATATGTAACTTCAGGTGGAAACTGAAGAACATTAAAGCAAGTCAATGAGAACCAAAATAAGACCTCGAGGATGATTTAATCTGTATTGTGAACAAAATATCCAAGAAACTGGACTATATGAAGAAGAATATGGCGTCCAGATTGGAGGAAGGCTTTTTAATAACCTGTGAAACATGCATATGAAACACCCTTCCTTTCTGAAATGAAGAAACTCAAGGATTTCAGCCTCTAGTATAGATGAGAAATTACTAAAGAGAAGACCAAAATCTTCATAAATGACTAACAGATAACATCATGATAAACAGATACAAGATTGATGTTGTGAAGGTTTTCATCTTGCTTACATGAACAATCAATGCTCATGAAAGTAGCAGTCAAGAGCTCTAACTCTGCGTCGCATTGAGTTAATCTCTGCCCTCCCTACATCTCCAGAGCTGAGGATTTCCTCACACCGGCTGTTGTGCTACTATCATTTGTATTCTTCCTCAAGAGTATATGCTATGGTCTCTCCATCATTTTCTTAGGGGAAAAAAGAAGTGCTAACCCGGGTTGGTCATGGAGAATGAAAGGTTTTAGCTTGCCTGGGCCATATTGGAGGCTAATGAAGCTACTGTTCTTTCCAATGACATGTGCCTTGTGGCTCTCTTTTCTATGAGAGTCTTTGGTTATAATCTCTCATCCCACCAACCCTCTTTCCATTTCTGTTCCTTCTTTGACATTGCTGTAGGAACCAGCCTGTTCCACAGCAGTGACCGTCTTACATCCCTCCCCCCACCACACCTGTTTCATCTCCAGGATAGGATGTTCTTGCTTCCCTCTCTGACCTCAACATTCCTGGCATATAAGTCTGGAAGCTCAAGTGGTCCCCAGCTTGCTAATATTGCAGGCTTGGGGGTGGACAGTCTTATAGTCTTATGACTGATGATGTTTGGTACATCCCTTAATGTAACTCTGTCATATATGCACTGGATAATTGGTTTATTTTATATATTATATTATATATATTTATATATTATATCTTCCTCTTTTTTGTTCATGAGAGCTGTATTACTATTTTAAGATGCGCTTGGCAGGACCCAGGGTATTTTCTATCATTTTGCTGTTAGGTGTCATTGAATCAGTTCAGACTCACAGCAATATCAATAGAAAGAAATATTGCCTGGTCCATCACTATCTTCACAACTGTTCTGATAAAATTTGGCCCATTGTTGAAGCCACTTTGTCAATCCACGCTGTCGAGGGACTTCCTTTTTCTGCACTGATCCTCTACCAGTAATGATGTCCTTCTTTAGGAACTGGAGTCTCTTGACAATATGCCAAAGTATGTGAGATGAAGTCTCCTGATTCTTGGCTATAAGGTGCAGTCTGGCTGCACTTCTTCCAAGACAAAATTTCTTGTTCTTTTGACAGTGAATGCTTCTTTTAATCATCTTCACTGGCACCATATTCCAAGTCCATCTTCTTCGATCTTCCTTATATAATTATTTTATTTTCATGCAAAACTTGGGGAATGAATAAAGAAAAATAAATAAATTTGAATTGTGGCACTGGTAAAGAATATCGAATGAACAGAGGACTGCCCGAAGAAATAGCAAAATTGTGTTGAAAGAAATTAATGTAAATGCTTTTTAGAACTGAGAATATCAAGACATTATTTCATGTAATTTGAACTTTTGAACAAGAAGGACCAGCTCCTGGAGAAGAATCATTCTTTATAAAGCAACACATCTGAAAAACGAGGAAGACCCTCAAAGAAATGGGCTGACACAGTGGCTGCAACAATTGTGAGGATGGTGCATAACAGGGTTGTGCTTTGTTCTGTTGTCCGAAGGGTCACTAGGGGTAGAAACTGACTCCATTGTACATAAAAACAAAAAACAGTGCAAGAATGTAAGCAGGGGTAGGTGTTAATCAAAATCTGACTTTGAGATTGTGGTAGTTTATTTCCTGGATTATGCTAATTTTTGTGAAATATACAAATAAACAAACAGAGTGAGATTTGATTACTTCCCTTCCAAATATATTTTATTCCTTAACCCTTTTGATGTGTTTCTATCTGGTCTTAGGAAGAGAGCATAGCACTTTGGGGCAAAGATGCAGCCTAGAAGCCCCACACTGGAGGCTAAGATGGAGAAGATCTCCACAGCCACCATGACATTCCCCTGGGTGCTGTGGTAGACGGGGAGGAAGGTCACCCAGACACTGCAGAACACCAGCATGCTGAACGTCAGGAACTTGGCCTCATTGAAGATGTCAGGCAGGTTCCTGGCCAAGTAAGCCAAAGAAAAAGTCCCTAGGGCCAAGGAGCCCAAGTATCCCAGGACACAGTAGAAGGCAGTGACTGAGCCCTTGTTGCACACAACGATGATATTTCTTGGCTCTGAGTGTGTGTCTGTGTCAATGAATGGGGGGGAGGTTCCCAGCCAGACCCCACAGATAATCATTTGGATCAAGGAGCAGATGGGAACCACAACATTAGAAGCCCCAGACAGCAGCAACCGCCTCATGGTTCTTCCAGGCTTCAAGGCCTTGAATGCCAGGATCACTGTCATGGTTTTGGCCAAAACAGTAGACACAGCCACAGTGAAAACAACTCCAAAGGTGATTTGTCTGAGGATACAAGTAACTTTGTTGGGGCGGCCAATGAAGAGTAAGGAGCAGAGGAAGCAGAGGAGGAGAGAGAGGAGCAGGACATAGCTGAGGGCTCTGTTGTTGGCCTTAACGATGGGAGAGTCTTGATGCTTCACAAAGACCCACAAAATCATAGCAGTAACAACAGAGAAGCACAGAGCTGTGCAGGCCAGAGTCATCCCTAAGGGATCTTGATAAGCCAGGAAGGTCACGATTTTTGGCAGGCAGCGATTCCTCTCAATGTTGGGATATTGACTTTGAGGGCACTCCATACATTGCTCACTATCTGGAGAGAGAAGTGAAAGGGAGCTTGAGAGAGAGAAAGGAGAAACATCTCTCAAATTTTTGAATGTGCCTGCCGGCATGAAGTAGGGAACCAGTGGAGAGGTCTGAGGGGCCGGCCCCAATCCCAGCTTGGTGGACACCTGCCCCTCCCCCCAGAATAATTTACTTGAGAGGACAGCACTGAATCTGAAGCTCTGGGAGAGAGACATGTCTGATCAGAGCACTCGGGAGCAAATGAAGGGGGAGAAGAGAGTGGAGCATATCCTAGCCCGCCAAGCCTTGATAAAGAGATTCCCGCTCATAGCAGCCAATTCACAGAGGAGACCATATGGCCGGCCCCACTATGAGACATGACATCCCTCACTGACCCATAGCCCTATAGGGGACAACACTGGAGACACAGTGTGGGAGTTGCACCCAATCTGATTCTATCACACCGAGGCAAAACACTAAGGGCATAGAACAGAACAGCAAGGGAAACAGAGCAACAAAGTCCCCAGGGAATACCAAAAATAGACTTTGGGGGAACATGGGA